ATTTAGTCATGCATATTAACCAGTATATTGGTGGCACTAGTATAAATGATTCTTGAAAATATGAGACTTGCCAGATTTTAGCAAGATTTCTCAAGCTTTTTCATATTTGTGAAGATAACCAGTAGGTCTACTTGAAAATGTAATCTATTTTCTTGTCTTTATTATGTAAATCTTAAAAGTTAACTTTTTTCAAAATATGGCTCCCATCAAAGGTGAGGCCCTGTGCGACCGTAGTTTTGTACTTTCGTAAAAACGGTTCTGAACTGAACAATGAAAGGATAATTTAACTCAAGGCATAAAGTGGGTCATTAGGGTTTCTTTACTAGAAACAAACCGAAAAACAATGATTTATTCAGAAAAACATAATAACTTGTTTTTGTTAGTCTATAAAACTTGTATATTTATTTATAAATATATATAAGCGTGTCTCAACTTAAACGAAATTTAGCACTTTGACATTTTTAAAAGTGTTACATTGTCATTTTTTAAAAGTGTATACATTATGACATTTTTTAAAGTGTTTACATTATGACATTTTTTAAAAATTGTATACATTGGCATTTTTTTTAAAGTGTATACATTGACATTTTTTTTAAAGTGTATAGATTATGACATTTTTACAAAAAATGTGTATACATAATGACATTTTTTTAAAGTGTATACATTGACATTTTTTTTAAAGTGTATACATTATGACATTTTTAAAAAAGTGTATACATTAATACAGGATCTAGCTTCTTCTTGCCTTCGTACATTTCCTGGTCTGTTAGTGCAAAGAAATGAGTTTATGCTAGTAAATACAATGAATTAATAGACTTTAGCTTGTTGCGTTAACTAGTAGCACCAAACTGCTGGTAGACAAGTAAACCGCTCTAGGCGTATTTTATTTTAACTTATAAGACTTGAAATAACTTGAATAGCCTCTTTGGGAACAAACTTAAATAAAACTTTAATTACAATATGGGCAATTGTAACTTAACGTGAAATGAAATATAAACTTGTATTTTATACAAATCTAACTCACAATAAAAACGTCTTTACACTCTGGCATCCAGGAGTCTGGCGCACCAAAGACAGCTTATGACAGTGCCGCTTATCTTGCATCATTCAAACTACATATCCACCAACCAATCGCTAACTTCTCAGTCTACCAAAACACACACACACACACACTAACCACGAACAGACATTTAAAGCTCTACTTTTATTGCGTTACATTCTGGCTAGTAGTTTAACAAAGCATTAAAAAAAAAACCTCGCGTAATATATAACATTTCATCTAAGCAATTTTAATACTTAAAAAAAAAAAAACTGCATAGACTGTGCGACTTTTCATACATATTTTTTTTTTAAAGTTCATTTTGTTTTTATTGCAGCCCTGAAGAGCATTCAAGTTTAGCATCATTTCAAATTTTAGGATGGAACTGAAAGACATCTTGCCCAGCAATCTTGACCTAACCAACGGACTTCATTCGTCAAAGAAAAAAAACGATATCTGCATTACCATAGGTTTTAAAACTTTTTTAATCAACCAATCTATTCTAAGTGTCTGCTCTAAGTATTTTCACGCCTTGATGTACTCTGACACCAATAAATCAAAAGAAATGATAAATTTGCTGATCAAAGGCATCGACGCCCACAGTTTTGCTAATGTGCTGTACATGATCACCAAAGGCAAAAACAAAATTACTGAGAACAACATGCTAGCAATGTGGCGCGCAGCACACCACTTGAAGATCGAATTTCTAATCGAACAGTGTGAAAGTTTCGTCAATGCTCACGTGACTGAAGAGCACTATTTAAATATTTACCAGCATGCCATCGCCTTCAAATCAGAGACTGCTTATAAAAAGGTTATCTCATTGATGATCAAAAACTTTGACAGACTTATAAAGACTGATACTTTTCTAACTTTAACTCCTAAGACTTTAATAGAAATCCTAACAAGTGGAGGCATCAAGTCACATGACAATGTAATTGTAGCCATTTTTTATTGGATTAATTATACTAGGACAGAGCGACTTCAGATCTGTGGTGAGTCGCCAAAGAAAAAGGGGTTGCAAGCCAAAGGAGGAAAACAAACCTAAAGAGAGTGATGGCAATGCTGATTGGGACATAGAATGCAATTTTAACGATATAGATCTTTTTTCTAACACAGATAATCATCCCACAAATAGAGAAGAGATTCTGGGGGAAACTAATCAACCTTATTCAGTTTGACCTCATCACCACAGATGGACTCAGAAAGCTGCTGAGAGAGCCATCTCCTTCCAGCTGGAAAATGAGAAGCTAGTAAAGCTGCAGCTCAATGCTGAAGAGATTACACCCGAAGCCATGAGTTTATCTGATCTTACAATTGAAGACATTAGCTCTGAAGTCGCTTCGGCCTCCCCCCAGATGCAGCACGTCATCTTGTTTATAGACAGAAACCAGAGTCTCTTAGCACTCAATATTTTGAGCAGCACAATACGTCAAGTCAGCTTTGATATTAAAGGAACATTTGAGGATTTATATGTTTTGGAGCACAAGTTACACATCTTGGTAAGTCGCTCATTTGTCAGTCTAGCATGCCAACTACGTTTGTATAAGATTTCAGATTTCCAATCCATCATTTGTTACTTCGGGTCGAAGAACAGAACAAAGTTTATCATCAATGGCACTTTTCATTACGCCTTCCTCAGTTGTAACAAAAAGATCACTGGAACTAAACGCCCTGACCCCTATCAAAGAACTTGGGCAACCATTGATTACTATCATGACATTGGGGAAGTGACGTCACTAGTCAACTTTGAAAATGAGATTGTGGGGTTCTTCTCAGGCGAGGAGGAAGGCAAAGAAGTAACTAGAATATTCTCGTTTAATACCACCAGTAGAACTTTTTATCCCATCGTGAACCTGGACGGAAGTGCCAAAAATCTGGCCATTTTCACTTTCAAAAAAGAAGCTGTTTGTCATCCAAGGCTGTGGGACTTTGACAGAATTATATAGACAGGATGGATTTCTGCAAGCTGACTTTCACCCGCCACTGTGAGACATGCCATTGGAAATTTTTGGAGCAGTGGTGTTAAACAAAACATTTTTAGTGATGGCGCGCCTTGACAATGTCCAAAATCTACCAACGACTTGCCAGTTTGGCCGCATTAAATTTGTTAACCTTACCAATGGTACCAACATTTGTCAGTACATGGCTATTCCCAATCACTGGCTTAAAAAAATTTGAAATGATCTTTAACTTTTTTGCTCACTTGATTCAGGACTTAACAATATTTTAAAATTCATGTTGTTAAAACATAAGTACCATTCAGTGTTACTAATCGATTATAATCTCTATTTTGGAAATGCATTTCAGTTTAATTTTATTTTTTATAAGAGACTTTTATTTTTCCTCACAGTTAATTTTAAATTTCAATACCATTTTAGAATGTCTTTCCAGATCTGTCTCAGAATTTTTTAAAAATTGTCTTTTACTTTTTAAATTGTCATCTTTTTTTTTTTAACATTTATTTTCAATTTTTTTTTCCATTAAATTTTTCAAATTTCATACGAACTAGCCATAGATGTTTCATCATTTTTTAAGTGGAATTTTTCTATCATTTGTAACTATTGGAACATTTATTTTGTATTCAATTTTTGAAATGAAATATTTGTTGGTAATCTGATCTTTTTTCTCTTGTACCATTATTACATAATAATTCAATTTTTAAAAAATATCTAAGAAAAATGTCTTTCATTGTGACAATTTACTCCATGCATTCATCAAATTTTCTTTATTGTCCTGATTTAAGTAGTTTGAATGGAACAATGAAGTATTTTTATGAATTTTCAGTACAATATTCTATTATGTCTTGACCTCCAAAAGTATCTGATCTACAATGCTTTTTTAGTGAGTTGATGTAGCTAGAACACTTCAAACTTTTTTCTATTTAAAATTTTAGTCTGTGTTTATATATAACACTGGAATGTATGAGAAACTTTTGACAACTCGGAACAATAAAGATTTGATCACCTCCTTATTTTGAATTTTCAATATTTTTTTGGTTTTTGTTTTTATAATATTAAGCTTGTTTTGTTAAATTTGGACTTCTTTTTCAACAAATATTAAAATTAAAATATTTCAGCCCAAATTTTAATTTCATTGCAATGGTGAAAGATTTGGAAACGACAGCTGTATTTGAACAGCTGTCTTTGAATGTAGTGGCATATTCTCTAATCAGCTTTACTAAGCCTAAGAAAAGCTTTTTGCCAATAACACGAATTAAATATCAAAGATAAATTTCACTTGTAGTAGTTCAAATCCAGCCAGTCAGCATCCTTTTCCTTACTGCGAGAGATTTGAACTAAGGTGTCATCATCTGTAATTCAGTTGTAAGACCCAAAAGGTGTGCAAGAAAATACTATGCTGTTTAGACTACAGAATGAGGGCAAAACATTCCTTCCCCCTACATGCACATGTTAGTGCAGTGAATGTTACATAGCAGAGAGTTTTTGGTGATTGTCAGCTAGCTCTAATGCTATCTCAGGAAGCTAGGAAAATTTAACATTGACAGAACAATTAAGCTTGGTATAAGCTTCATACTTCACTGGCACAAAGACATCTACTAAATAGAGTAATTTAAAAAAGCATCCTATATCACTGGAACACGGCTACCATCTACCAAAACACATCTGCACTGGTTAAAACAGTTTTGTTGTCAACTAATCTCCAATAAGGCTAGAACAAAAAGATTTTTAACTTTTTAAATAATAATAACTTGGCTGGGATATAAGCAGCTGTGTCTTGTTTTAACCATCCTTCAGAGTTAAGGATCATTACATCCTAGCCCAAACCTCCTGCAGGGGGGGGGGGGGGGGGGGGTTGGGGGTGGTAAGGTGTGAATATGAGCACATCGAGAAAAGACAGTCCATAATGCATACACCAAGACTATGGTCTTATCATTCCTGTTTACTAAGCAAATAAACTTGCAAACACACATGTATGTCACCTAAACAAAATCAATGCATTTCAGTCTCAATATCAGCAAATTTTATTAATATCATCTAGATATTATCTTTCATAAATGCATGATACAATATATATTAAGTTTTAAAGTTAAGTATATGTTAGAAGGATTTTTAAAAATTTGGAATAGAATGTTAAGATGAAATAATAGAAACAATAGATTGTGACTTCATTAAAAATAAAAAAGTTCCCAGGCAGAAGAGGCTTTCAAAAGACATAGCAACATTATAATAAAATGCTTTTAAATTTCAAAGCAAATAAACAAAAAATCTTTAGGAATGTCTTATATTGGTCAATCTATAAATATAATTAGGACTTGATAGGACATCATGACAAAAATGAAATGACAATCACAAAATGTGTAATGCCTTCAACTGCATATGTAAATCAAAGTCAAAGAAAACAATAGCAAGCACTCTATATGTTTATAACATATCGGTTGTAACTTCAATTAGTCAAAAATGGTGAACTGTTTTGTTGTAGCCTACACACTTTTTTTTTTTTTTTTTTTACTTTTTCTGAACATTAAACAAGAAATAACCAAAACAAAACTTTTTCCAGCAGGCTTTAAAGAAAAAAAAAAGTGACAAACAATAACTGAGAGTGAAACAAAAAATAAATAAGTACTATAAATATGTCAAAAATATAACTTCTATGATACAAAATAATATATATATATATATATAAAATGTGTTTAAAAATGAACAATGTACACTGTTTTCTTATTAAAGCTTCTGAACATTGAAACTCTCAAGCAAAATTATTTTTTTTCAGTGAATAACGAAAAAAAAATAATGAAAACTTACTTTACAGTTTATACTCCATCAACTTTGTTATAAAATGAACAAAGCTGAACAATTAAGAACATTACTGCTACAGATTAGAAGGCAGTCTAAGCTGACCCAATGAAAAAGAAAGAAACAGAGATATGACAGCTTAGACTTTTTGTGTATTTACAGCTGGTTAGAACCTCATTGTTCAAAAACACTGACCTGTGACAAGGACAATGAGAAAAGTTTGGCTCAAAAGTTAGTCACATTTACAGTAAAGATCCTTAAATTGTGTGATTTATAGAAATTAGATTATTTATCTACTGCATTTGATTATTACAAAATGCCTTAATGGGAAGGTAACTCATTCGGATTCCAAATGTTAAAGTTACAAGGAAAGTTTGTATGTAGTAGTCCTAGCATATTAGATAATGAAATGAAAGACATGTAAATAATAATAAAATAAGTCTTTCTATATTAAACTAAAACAAGTTACAGCATTGGCATAAATATTTTTAAAATTCAGCAGTGTTCCAATATTAAAATATTACGTATTTAGAATGGCTTCAATTGATTAGCAAACCAAATCGATTCTGTACATGAGCAGAAATAATATCCCACACTGAAAATGTAGCGCTTTGTGAAAGGTCTGCCCCTAAGAATGGTACTTTTACCCCCCATTCTGTCCAGAAACATTGGCAGATCAAGACAGCCAAGATTAAGATTTTGGCTTCAATAAATAAAGTTCTATTTTTATTTGCCAAGAAAAATTTAGCTCTGAGCTGAGGAAAAAAAAACTTACTTAAAATATTTAGGCATACCGGTATTAGATTTTTAAAAAACGTCAGAAAAAAAAAATCTCAATTTCAAGCCAAGGAAAACAAAACTAATTCTACATAATAGCAGTGGGTTTTTTTCTGACTATAAAATGCATTGACAGTAGTTAAGGTTTAATGGAACTCAAATAATAAAAGATGTACGTAGCACGATCAGTCATCTTCATTGTATCAGATTTATATCAGATGTGAGAACCACTGATTGAAACATTCCTATTATGCTGAGTTTTCTTTTTTTTTTAAGTTTCTTGTTTTATTCTCAGGCCATTTCACATGGTAATGCCATTTCTAAAAACTGAGAAAACAAAATGGAATGTCGGAAAGCTAATACAATGACTAGGATGCATTAGTTCTGTCGGTGAGAACAAGACAAATGTATGCAAGCAGCATTACTAGATTTATATACACAATAGAAAGATAATAACTCATTTATAAATTGCGAATGATAATGTTGGTGATGTATATCTTTTTTTAAAAATTTTTTTTAAACTGTACTGTCTGTAAATAAGTATTTATTTATACAAAACATTTAATATATTTCTAATGTCTCTACTGAGGTACAAATGAAAACAAACAAAAACTCTCCCATACTGTTTCAAGATTTTCTCTCAGTCAACTAAAATTCCAGGATAGAAAGACTATGTTTTGGTTTGGATTTCCAATAACCACTAAAAAGAAAAAAGAAAGAAATTACAGAAAACACTTCATAGCACCATATTTTCATGCTTATAACCTGCACACATGTATACCCAACACAAATTACTCAATAAGCAAAAACAAAATCATATAACCCGCATGTGCAAAGCGTGACTTGCCGTAAATTACACGCACATTAAGTTGTTACTCATCAAATCTGTCTCTTGAAATGCAATCGCGCTTCAGCTGTTTCTCTAACATATGATGAAACGTGTGAAATACGAGCCTATGTACACAGTGAACTATAAAAAGCATAAATTCCCACCGGTATGTCCGTAGTTTTCATCATGCTATGTTTATGATGAGTTAAATAAATTTTGTATACCCCCCCCCCCCCCCCCCCACAGCTGCCAATTATTTGTAAAAACTTGTATAACCTGCGGGTTATGAGCGCGAAATACGGAATATGGGCAAGCCAGGACAACAGTATTGTTTCTTTGCAATCTTTAATAATTAGATAGTAACATAACAATTCAAGCAGCTAAGCACACTTCAAAAAAATTAAATCTGGTCACTTCTTAAAGTGTAGACATTTTGTTTTGAATTAATTGTTATTCTGGAAGACTTTGTTTGTTAACTATTGACTTTGGTGCAGGAACCTTATCAAAAGTTTATCTTAACTTAAATGCATATCATTTTTTTTTCTTGTAAAACTTTTAACATTTAAATAAAATACAACATATTAACATACATTTAATAGATTGCAATTTAGTATTCATATAATAATGAATGTCAACAATCAGAAACAAAATTCTCAGCTAAACTATTCCAATCTTATAACGAACAAATAATGGAGCTATGTTCAGAAAAAGAGGTTATGCACTCTATCAGTTTAGAACTGGATAAGGCTGAAAAGGCTTAGTCTGTCTTCCCACCAACAAAAGAAAACCCAAGTTATTATGAAGAACTTTTTAGATTGCTGTTTGTCAACCAGTTTTAAGTGGCCAGATTTATTGAAATGCATAGTTGTGATAAACTTTTTTTCTTCTTATACAAGGCGAAGCATTGAATTTTCAGAAAAAAATATTCCAATGTACTGAAAGATAGAAATAACCACAGAGGTGACCACCAACAACATATTTCATTTAAAGATGATAACAGCCAATTATCACATTGAATATTGAAATTAGAATAATCAACAAGAGGGTGTGGGGTCAAAAAAAGGAAGTTAAGGCAGAAAAACACACAAAAAATTAAATCCAGTAGTTATAAAAAGAAAACATACTCCCAAGAAAGCCGACATTTGTGGTAATATAGTAACTCAAATGAAAGCGTACATTTGAGTCTGCTTAAAAAAAAATTACATTCAAACTTCAAACAAAGCCATTAAGTCAAACATAACATAGAGTAAATGCATAGAAGGAGATTGATCTATACCCCCCCCCCCCCCAATATTGTTAAAGGTTAGGTTCAATCTTCTATCTCTGAATACTCTTTAAGTTTAAAAAATCTCACATTTGTTTTTATTATTTAACTTAACAAATCTAAACCATCATCATCTAAATGATAAATGGACGCAAAATAAAGGACCAGGTATTTGGTGTACAGACACACTTGCAGAACTACTGCCAACAAATTATTCATTTCAAAAGTAAGATGGCCTCCAAGTTGATGGGATCAATAAAATTGTAACAAAAATATCACAAACTGTAACAAACAATGTTGGATATAAAAAAATACAAGTGAAGTTTAGTCTATCTACATTTAAACATTGTTTTAAAAATCATGTGTTGTTTACATTTAAACATTGTTTTAAAAATCATGTGTTGTTCATTGTCAAGTGCTGTCTAGGTGAGATGAATTGTTTAATGGCACAAGAAAATATATGATCTCCCTTGAATCAACCTTGAGAATTTTAATCTCCCATCATGCTAGTCAAGTTTTAAAAAAATGTTCTCTAAGAAGGCATAAGTTAGCAGCATCTTCTAGTGCTTTTGTGCTCATCACTATTTTCTATCAAGTCAATAACACTTCCCTTTCCATATTTTTTCTTCTGCTCCGCACTCAGTGGCAGACAGTACTGAAATATAAACTGAAAAACTTCGTCCACATTTTGGTTGGTTAGGCTCGAGGTCTCAAAATAAGGTTCGTGTGGCATTTTCTTCAAATCCAGGTGCTCGTTGAGCTCCCTGGCCAGCTTCTTCCCTTCCTCTGGAGTAATGTCTCGATTGGTCTGGTCCAAAAGGTCCATTTTTGTGCCAACCACAACTTTCAGGCAGTCTTCATTGGCTGCCTCTAGAATGGAGCCGAAACGAGCCCTGTCAGAAAGAAATAAAATATGATTTTATATAAATAAAAAAGACATTTTTTTTCAATATTATGCAACATAAGCTAGTTTCAGTTGTGTTTTGGATGCTCCTTCAGAATTGAAGATTATTAGAATCTAGGGCAATGCTCCCGCAGGACTGCGGTGCATAGGGGCGAACAGGGTTTGGCGTGTAATGTTGGCGTAAAACTAGTGTGAACATATTTTTTTTTCTATAGATATGATGTATTTTTTAAATGCACTAATTTTAAGACAAATTATCTCATAGATAATTAAGATTATTATTAATATTCTATATCAGCAATTCACATATATTTTTCAATGTATCATTCGCTCCAAGTCACACTCATTATGGTCAAAAAGGGACATTTTTTTATTTCTAACAATAATAACAAATCAATGATTATTAATAAAAGACGTATGTATTAAATTTATAGAATAAAGATTTGGAGCGAACAGGGTTTAATAAATTTAGATAGAATATAAGTTGTAAATTAAAAATATGATACAAAATGTAATTTGAAAAACTATTTATTGATCATAAATGAAGTAGTTACATAATTTGTTTCTAATACAAAGTAAGTTTAACATTAAAATTAAAGTATATATTTTATAGAGCTTGCTTACAAACATTGAAAAATATTTTTTCTTTCCTATATATTTTAAATACTAAGAATTAGGAAGATATTAATTTTAACTATCATTGGCATTGTTAATGAAAATTTGTTGGCTTCTTTTAAAAACATTAAACAAGACTAACACTGAAATGGTTTGTTCAAAGGGAAATAGATTCATAAAGCAGAACATAGTGCAATGAAACTAAATTTGCTCAGAGGCTTTATTCTGAATGATGCAATAACAGCTAAATATTAGAGGTACTTGAAAACATATATTTAGTGAGAATGAACTAATGTGATAAAGAATCAGTCATCAATGAATAAATAATCATTCATGGTCATGTATGCTACACTTATAATACATGAATTTATACAAATGTATTTATGAGTGATACATTCTGCTGAAATTATTTCCTCATTGGGATTAAAACAGAAAAATCAGTACAACTGGACCAAGATGATTAGGCCAATGTGTACCAAGACTATTGGGCCAATGTGTACCAAGACTATTGGGCCAATGAGTATCAAGACTATTGGGCCAATGTGTACCAAGACTATTGGGCCAATGTGTACCAAGACTATTGGGCCAATGTGTACCAAGATTATTGGGCCAATGTGTACCAAGACTATTGGGCCAATGTGTACCAAGACTATTGGGCCAATGTGTACCAAGACTATTGGGCCAATGTGTACCAAGACTATTGGGCCAATGTGCACCAAGACTATTGGGCCAGTGTGCACCAAGACTATTGAGCCAATGTGTACCAAGACTATTGGGCCAATGTGTACCAAGACTATTGGGCCAATGTGTACCAAGATTATTGGGCCAATGTGTACCAAGACTATTGGGCCAATGTGTACCAAGACTATTGGGCCAATCTGTACCAAGACTAATAGTAGTTTGGGTACTTTTGGACCCAAAAAAAAATCCTTTGTCCTTACTTCTCTTCCTTCAGGAATGGATTGGGCTTTACCTTATTCAATTTATCATGTCATGTTTTAACACTGGCTGGCTGGGGTGGAACTTTGTGTTATTAAAAAAAATATCTAATTTTTTAGGCATTTTTTTTTCCTTACCATAAAGATTCAAATGTCTGTGAGGAGTTTAAGTCAAAGGCCAAAATGGCTGCCCCTGCACCTCTGCAGTAGAAATGTGAAAGCCCTGAGTATCGCTCATCTCCAGCTGTGTCCTAAGAAATATAAAGTTCAGGTTTCATATACATTTTTAGCTTTGCAGTTAATTATTTGGCCTGATAACGTGATAAAGTGGGATACACAGAATGGAGAATACTACCAAAAAAACTGAACGTGGCAGCATGGTGAATCACCAAAGAAACAGGTTTTAGTTTTAGTATTTAAGGGTCTTACTTTAGGTTACAAATACTGTCCATTGTTTGCATGACTGTTACTTGAATGGGAAGGAAGCTACTACCAACTACACAGTAGTAGCAGTTCAGTATGGTAAAAAACAATATGGAAGAACCCTTCTGGGCTTGGCTTAGTTTTTAATAGTTACATTTTTTGTAACCTTGTAAGAGCTCTCCAGATGTGACTTTCAGAGGCCATCTGCTGCTGTCTTTATGCCCATGACCTTAATAAGAGCACTCCAGATGTTATTTTCATAGGCCATCTGCCGCTGCCTCTCTGCCCATGACCTTTAAAAGAGCTCTACGGGTATCACTTTCAGAGGCTGTCTGCTGCTATCTCTATGCGTGACCTTTGTAAGAACTCCCCAAATGTCACTTTCAGAGGCCATCTGCTGCTGCCTCTTTGCCTGTGACCTTTGTAAGAACTCTCCAGATTTCACTTTCAAATGTCACTTTCAAAATGGCACTTGAGTAGATTTTATAGCATTTCCATGAGCACCTCTTTTACAAAAAAAGATTGCATTTGGCATGTACATACACAATAGGTGTCTTGACACAGCGCAGATGGTGAATGGTAAATAGTACACTGTCTACACAGGCCTCCAGCAGAACATGGTTAGTAGTAAGATAGTCTAGCCTGCATATGTGTTTGAGGGCCAAAAAAAAAAAAAAAGAAAATTTAAATAGACCCCATCGGGCAACTGCTTTGTAAGCATCAAATGTGGCAAAATATGCAGGTCACAACTGGGTTTGCCTGCTGAAATACATAAATGGAAGACGATAAGTAAATTTTAAATTTTTACGAAGCCTGCACAACAAAATCATAGGAATCTTAGTGTTCTCTCACCAGAACTGAGGATTAAAACCCTTGCTAGAGCCCAAGATTTTATACATATACTGGGTCATAACAGTGAAGAATATCTTGACCTAACATACAAATAATATTATGAGTAGGCCTGTAAGGAATGTAATCAACCCCATTATATTAGTGAATCAGTTAAAAATGTCTTAGCTAGCAAGTGACCTCCAATATTCAAACCAATTTCTTTGAAAACAAAAAATAAAATCCAAATGAATATGCCCTATTTGGCATTTAAAAAAACAAAACAAATTATTTTGCACTATTTGGCTTAAGATTTCAAGTTTATTTATTCAGGAATAAAGATTAAAAAAAACTTTTAAAAAAAATTATTAACAAAGCTGATCTAAGAGGAAAAACAACAAAAACACTGCCATCTCTCTCAGAACTGCAGGGTTTATCTATACAAGACAAAATTAATTATTTCCCCCTAATTGATTAACTAATTGGTTTATTTTTGTATTGATTCATGTATTGTAATCCACTTTGATTAATTGTGCAAAATTTCAACTGGAAAACAGAGTGGGAAGATAGAGACAATTTTTTTGTGTACAAGATTTGTACCATATAGACAGACGTGAGTTTGAAATAAAAAATATAATGAGCTATTTTTGTTGAGCAACATTGTACGCCTCAGATACTTTTATATAATTGATTAGATTGAGATGGCAATGTTTACTTTAATGTTTCCTTTTCTAGCATAACATTTCACTTCAACAAAAGACAATGAGCGATTCCATCCATTTTTCTATGCTCCCCCCCTCTCTAGAATGGTTCATAACTTAACTTTAGTTTTAAAAACATCAAACACCATTAGTTATTTTATCTTTTTTTTTAAAAAGGTGGTCTATTATTTTCAATTTACTCTACATTGTGACACAAAGGATTATTATATCCCGGTGACTACTTTTTAAAGTAATATTAATGACACTGTGAATAGATTTTATGGACATATTACAATATACAATGAAATATTTATTAGTTTGTTTCTTGAATATTTTACATATCAATACGTCTAAGCTCTTTTGGAATTCTCTTGTTTCACAAGAGCTAAAATTATTAGCTGTTACACTGATCAAGACTAGTATGTTATTTTAATGATTGTTAGATGAGCTAGTTTACTTCAAAAGACTTTAAAAAAAAAACAAAGCACAGCTCTGTTGGTTCAAGAGATTGTTGTAGATACTTATACAGTCAGGAAACCCTGCTCCCAAATAATTGAGTCAAAGAGTCAGACAAAACTATGTTAAGGTCATCAAGTCATACGGACCTTTTTTTTTTTTTTTTGGTAATGTTATTATCACTTTGTTTTATTAATCAGCATTCCAATTATAGTCAAGCTTTTTTTTTTTAACCAATAGCTTTCTCACTATATCATTAGTCACTGTTATTTAAAAGTTAGTCAAACTGGCACACAACTACATTAGCACAAAACAAGTAAAAAATCTGGCAAATACCCATCAGCAAAAATACTTTTTTTTAACACACTAATTAGGTCAAGAGGTTCCACTTCAAAATGTGCTACTCCAAGTCATTGGGAAAGAATAATACAAGCCTAGTACATATCTCAGCATATTTTTGGTTTCAATGTCAAATATCTTGAGTCTATAGAGTT